ACCTGTAGATATTTAGGACCTATAACTACTGTACATCGACCACCCTCACCTTTTAGGATCTATAGCTATTGTACGTCGATCAACCTCACCTTTTAGGACCTATAGCTATTGCACATCAATCACCCTCACCTTTTAAGACCTACAGCTATTGCACATTGGTCACCCTCACCTTTTAGGACTTATAGCTATTGTAGATCGATCACTCTCACCTTTTAGGATCTAGAGCTATTCCGTAATGTATTGCCTCAAACATACGGCACAACACGCTCATAGTCGTTCGCATGGCCCTTTGCGTGACGCTACGGTACCTTCTTAGGTATTTAAAATATCTGCGTAAAGTGAATTGGTTCAAGTACTGATATGTGCCTACCTCTGTTTTTCCACTTTCTCACGTAAAACCTAGTTTTATCTTGGACAAAATCGTCAGGTTTCTCTTCCTTAGTTCTGTCATTCAGCTCGTATATTATAGCTAATAAAAGCTTCATTATTTATTCATCTACAACTCCAAGAAATCTTTCAAGAGGGACTGCCCACGTCGACATTTACCATCAAATGTTTATGAAATTGCAACTGCTTAATTGCGAAAAGTAAAGCTGTTCTTGTAACTTAACTCGGGAGGTAAACGTTGCAAGTACTCGAGTTACGTTTTTATCTCAGAAAATCGAAATCTTTTGCCAGCCCTTGTCATCACATGTTTGTGTGTGTAGATTTAGTCAGGACAAAGATATATCAGCAATAAAAATAAACCTGGGCACTCTTCAGAGATTCCATTTTTTTTTTCAGCTCAGTCCCCGCCCTTTCATCTGGGCTTCTGGAATAATCATCCCCATCAAAATGGGACCTTAAAAAGTATCTATCAAATGGGTCCACCCCTCGAAAAAGTTCTTGAGTTGAGTATAAACTTTTCCTTTATCTCCTCCCGTGCTATCTTTAGAATCGCGCTCACAGCAGCTTGTTGCGCATGCACAGTGGCACTTGCACTCACCAACGTGCGTTGACATTACGACCAAATTTTCTCGGCTTAACAAGTTACCAGGCAGTGACCGCGCGCTTCGAGCTCCGCTATGGGAAGACGATAAAAGTCATTTCACGTCAGAACATTATAAAGAACCTTGATACTTTAATTAGAAATGGAAACAGTAGATCACTGCTCTTTATTTTAGTAGTCACTAATAACCAAAGGACCCGTAATTGTTTATCGCCTGGGGATCGAGGAATTTGGGGGGAAAGGATCGCATGGTTTTCAGGGGGAATGGAGAGGACATCAGTCGTCTCTTACAAATTTAAATAAAAACTTGACCCCTAATTCCTCCGACACCCCCCTCCTCAACTCCACCCGAGCGATAGCTAATGACTGCCCCCTTATAAACTAAGAAACTAAGGAAATTGAAACAAGTGTTTTCCTAATTCATGGAGTTACTATGACAATGACAACACGATCCTTTAGCGTGCAGAAGAAAAAACATTTTTTATGCATCTACATTTACTTCGCTCTCATCACTTCGATCCTCATACAAGGTTACTGAGAAAAGGTGACAAAAAGCGAATGTGTCTTGCTTGGACTTGACTTATGATCCAGATACTCCGATGGGAATTAATGATTCATCAACGATATATGGTGAAGCTGAGTGAAAACGAATTCTCGCTGAGCTGCTACAATATACTTTCCAAGTATTGTGTAAATTAGTCGAAAACTCGCGATAATTGCTAGCATTGTTATTTTTCACTGTACGTAGCTTCAAGAATATTGAGGCATTAAGCGATTTTATGTTTGTTTGACTGTGTGAAATTTTTTTTCCGTGCTGTATTGATTACTGTGTCCATGGAAAAGTTCCGTAAATTGCTGTGTTATTACCATGGCTAAGAAGCGGTAATCAAAGGAACTTTTGACTGTGGGACATCGCACATCTGAACTTTAAAATCCCTACCAGAACCAGGTTAGATTTAGTAACATCAAAGAGTATTTGCGACCCTAAAAAATCGCTCCAAATGAAGATAAAAAGCCCAATAAAGGCCGGAAGAAAATATTCGCTATGAGTTTTTCCTGCTTATATAAGAGAACCTTATCAAAGTAAAAATAGCACGCCTGCAGCCACAGCACACCTCGCCTTCTTGCAAATATTTTGGCAAACAGTATATGGCAAATCCATTGCTTCCGAAACGTTTTCACGGAAAGAATGTCATCTGATGTCCCCTGAGTTCACTAGCGCAGGAACAAATGCATTTTCCAGTTTTCTGCATAACGATGTTCCATAACATTTCGAAGTCCGCGTTTATGGGACACTTTTATAACTTATTTCCCTAACATAAACCCAAGGGTGTTTACATTATAAATTTGAAATGCCCTTCATTGGCTTTTATATCCCGCTAAGTGAACATAACCAGAGTTAATATATTTTGTGGCTAAGGAAAAAAGAAAAATTGTAAATTCATCGTCAGATCAAAAACGCTTGGCCCTTTTCAAATTGCTAGCAGCTTTAAGAAAAACCAAGCCTTTTCGAGAATTGAAATTGGAATAACAGGAAGAATTTCAAGCTTCATTATTTATTCATTCCTACCTCCGAGCAGGTAGCAGGTTGTCGAGTTAACAATTGTCTGAAAATATCAAAATAGTTTATAACGATTTTTGGAAGGGCTTAAACTGGCAATAAAAGCTATTATGCAAGTACAAGATAATTTGGTTTAATTAACTAAGTTTACAGATCATGGGTTCAGATCCCGTACAGGCCTGAATTTTTTTCAGGCCTTACCTTCACTACTGCTCAAGTAGTGTACATTACAGCGAGGATCACTTTCATTCATGAGTTTACAGTGTAAATTGGTCACCGTATGGTTAGTTCTTTTTCATCTTACGCTCTGACGAAGAACTTCCGCTCGTAACACCAGCTTAATAAACTCTCGGGTCAGAGGATTACGGTTGTGTCACGATACAATTTACCAAATAGTTTCCCCCCTTTATACGCTGTTGGTCACAACTGCTCTCCCCCTGTTGTTTCGCTTGAAAATCCTGTGATCCCTCCACAAACTTCACCCCCCTGTTGTTTCGCTTGAAAATCCTGAGGTCCCTAAGGAGGAGAGGGTATAATAATTGCATGATTGAGAAGGTTTAACAGCTCCCCAGTTTCTTTTGAAACCAACCCCTTTTGTTCATTTATTCATTGCTTTTGGCACATACAGTTGGCATTTATTATTTCATGTTCTTCCTGAAAGAAAATTACCATTAAGGTACAGTTTGCCAATCAAATTATAGATTAAATCGAAAGAAAAGACTGTAAATTACATGAAAGAAATCAATTATAATTTTACTTTGTTTACAAAAAAAATTAGTTCTCGCACCTCTCTTTGTTCAAAAATTTTCTTCAAAAATCTTTGAAACACCTGCTTTTATTACGTTCGTCGCAACACCGCATTTACATTTAACAAAATTGCTCTTGAAATATAACACATTGAGTAGAACATGTTATAGGGCCAAAAATTTCTCGAGACTGCAAATATCTTGGACTGTTTGAGTCACTTAAAAGGCAATTATAGCAAACGTTTGAAGTAAGTCAAGGTAAGTTCTTTTATCATTACGACTTGAGTTCGCACGAAACTTGAATAACTGAGGGCAATGTTCTTCGTCGTATTCATTCATTCTCAACCATAACTTCTCAAAGCAAAGACAAAAAAAACTGACTAATAACATTTTTCGCCCCCCAAAAAACGGAAAAAAATTCATTCCTACTCTGTGGAGGTGACAAGGTCAGGCCTCCTTAAACTCTGAATTCCACACGGTCTTAATTTTTAAATGGCGAGGTGATTGAAGGTAATCTGTGCATCCTGGGATTTCGCCATGCAGATCGTTCCATGGAAACTAAAACAGGGCGTATATTTTTATTGAAGAACACCAGCTTCTTCACATTTTGGGAAGAACTTTCCTAAAGAAACTTGTTAATGCTTTCATTCTTTTCTAAGGAATTTCCTAAAGAATTGTCATTTTAAAGTTGGTACAACGAGGAAGACAAATATTATCCACTTGTCATGATTGAGTGAATTCATAATTTTATACAGTTAAAATTAGCTGAAAATGGCTTGAGCCAGTATGCATCTCATACTTTAATGTTTTCATTTGTGTCTTTTATCTTTTATTCAAGAGAAAACAATTTAAAATGAAAATATTACAGCTTGGCGGAAAGCTGCTAGTTTTGTGTGAAGTATTATGCTGGTTAACGCCGTGACTAAATTTCATTATGTAAATAAGAAAAAACAGAAAAACAAAAAAAAAAACAATGGTATCATTCTGTTTCTACTGAGGTTTTGATAAGAACACTCCAAAACCTGTTTTAGAGCTTTATTTCTCAATAGCTTATTATGGAAATAAATATTTTAGAACCTCAGAAAAATTTATTGTGGCAACATGGTAAATTTAGCAAGCCTTTTGCTCAACTTTAGTCAAGCACAGACCTTTTCAAAATGAGTTCAAGTCCTTTGATAAAGTCCTTATTAGTTATTTCTATATTTTCGTGTAATTGCCAAACTGCGATGAACGGAGTACAGTATAAATAATGAAGGACATTTTGTTGTGTTTCTCATTGTTCTATTTTCAATTCTAGCATAAGCACAACACAGCGGGAAGTTTCTAGCAATTTGATATGGAGAGTTTTCCGATTTGCCACAATGAATGTTTATCAACGTGTCATAATCGCTTCCCACAACGCTTTTAGTAGCAATGAACCTAGTTCGAATTGCATACGCTTTTCATAAAAGTCATCAATGATTCATAACGGGAAAGGAATTGAGGTTTATTCACGATTAATTCGGCATATATTTCGCGTCAATATTGCCTAAATTTTGACTTAAAAAATAGTTATACAATTGCATTTGACGCAAAATGAGGTCATTTTCGTTTTATTTCCTGCTTGAGGACTCATTCTACTGCTAGATGACATTTAGTAAAAAGGGATGTCTGTTTCATGCTTTCCTCATCTGTCCCGAAACGAAATTAATTTCAGCTTCATTTACAAAGCGGAGTTTAGAGGCCAATCGAAAGAGATTAGTTCAATTAAGAAAGTAAACATCGTAAAAGTTGGAAGTTGTGAAGGAAAATCAAACACGGATACTACAAGCTCATAGGGTAAGCAAATGTGTCAGAGGTAGCGAAAACTATAAAGAGTTGACGTCTGAAGAAATTGGAGGTTGATTGAAACGGAGTCGAACATTGCTATGTAAAAATTACCAGTTATACGATATTTGATATTATCGAAAACATTTTGGGATAACCGGCGAAACCAATTGGGTCATTTCTCGGTTCATCCAGTGAGAAAAAACCTGAGGAACCGACTCTCCTAACGCTACTGATTCTCGAAGGGTAAGTCAGAATTACACTAAAAATGCTTCGAGATAGGACACAAGTGTGCACTGTGGAATGATTTGGAAGTTTCGGATATCGGACAATCACTGTGAGGATATTTTCCCAGGCAGAAAGATTCGAAAACAAAGAAATCCTCAATGTTCCATGGTATTCCAAGAAGGCAAAAAAGCAAAAGAATGTTGAAAACTTTTTATTAATGAAAAAAATTGCCAAGATTTTCAATGAAGTACAGATTTCACATTTTGTTGAAATACTCAAGTTTTTCCATAAATAACCATAAATATTCATTCAACGTAACGTTCGATTCCTCACGGAGACATAAAATGTTTTCCTCTTTATCCAACGTTTGTGACGAAATGAAAAGATCACCTTTCTTACTGAAATTTACCATCTCTTGCGTTCCGTTAACCCATATGAGACTATTGACATTACTGATCCTTGCAGCATGCAGGATATGTGCAAAATATGAACGTAGAGAACAACTAGCTTCCCGCAGATTCTCTGTGGCTCTGTGGCTGTAGACGCCGTGAGTACGTTATTGTCTTTGTTCGGGTTTTTGGCACGTTCCTTGGTCCAGTGCTTCTATTGTTTCATATTTTAGGCTCTTTTGCATTTTGAATATAATTTGGCTCAGTGGTGGGAGTGGTGGGAGTTAAAACCTCCGATCTGTTGAAGGGTACTCAAGTTTAACAAGTTCGGCTTCGGTTGAAGACTGGTTTCGAGCAGCGTGATTCAGTCACAACCTTTTTTTAACGCTTTGATCGCTTCACTTCACTTTGCACCGTTTTCTAATCAAGTTTTCAATCGAATTTAAAAAAGGAAAAAACTGATTAGACCTGATAGGAGAAAAAAGGGCCCTAAATTTTAATCTTCAGACCTTAAAATAAAACTATCAACTGTCAAAATCGCAAATTGAAATCAACCGCCAACTGTCAAGCCACCCCCTCTTAATTGAGATCCTCACAGTACTACTGTGCGTAAGTATAACAAACAACAATCGACGATTATCAACAAAATTAGGAAATGACGACGATGTTCAAACGATATCTTATATAAAGAAGCTAATACTTTCATAGTCCCCATACATCGCTAAGCACTTTGCGAATTTTCCGTTACCCTGAGCGACACATTGCAGCAGATTAACGGTGTTTTCGCTTCATCCTTACGTTGCAGCTTAAGCCGGTGTTTTCTCTAAAACTATGTCAAAAACATTTCTCATTTAGGTCAAATATATCGTTCGTTTCCAGTAGCCCTCGATCCCCTCTTAAACCCAACGTTTAAGCAGGCCCTCATTATTCACCTTTACGCACGAGCGTGTCTTCGCCAGCGGGAAAGTATGCGGTCTTTAGCAACGCGAGTCAGCAAGAGGTCTGAAACGGGTCTGGTTGCTGACTCTCGGCAACTTCTCCCAATTCGTTTCAAATCTTTACGGGGAAGGAGAGACGCGGTTCTTGCATTGCTAATGTTAAGAGCCGCCTGTCACGCTATGCATGAGCGCTTTAACTGATTTATTTGTTTATTTATTTATTTATAGAGTACAAGTCTATCCAGGTCAGATGTTTTCGGTACTGTATATTTTCTACTTTTCATCTTTGATTCCTCTGCGCATGGCCATTAGTCTGCAATGTGAACCCGCTGAGCAGTCAGAGGGTGGAAAGGCTCTGAAAGGTCACATCTCTAAATCAAAAAGGGTACAAGATCCGTACGAGTGTCTGATGTTCTGCTACAGCGAACTCACATGTCAGAGCTACAATTACGTCAAAACTGGTAAACTTTGCGAGCTTAATAACAGAATCAAAGAGGCAAGACCTGAAGATTTAGTCCGAGATGAAACTAGATTCTACGTGCGACGATGGAAGAACAGAGGTACGGACAATAACATAGTCTTTAAAATCACTATTATATAAAAGATTCGTGAAAACTGAATACTTTTCACGGCTAAAAACATCAAGTTCCTTTAGTCCTTGGACAATCACACCTGGTTAGTATCGTTAAGCCAAAATTTTCAGCAATTTGATAAATTTTTCAACCTTGCATATGACGGTAACACATGTTCAGCTACTTTTGAGGAGGAGAGGTTGTGTCGGAGAGGTGTGAGATAAACAGACAGACAGATAGAGAGAAAGAGAAGACTTGTTTAAAGCTCATTTATAAATGCTAGGTGTTTTGTACACTATTAAAATGTCATCGTATTACAATGTGACTGATTCCGTCAGCGTTGTCCTGGGACCGGGTTGAAGCTCGGATATATTCCCTATACAATTCACATATCACTTGTGTAGTTCATCAGATCAAATCAAAGCCTCGCAATAATTGAAGTGGGAATGGGGGGGTTGGGGAATGAGTCTCCTCTGTTCGAGTCTAAGCCTTACAGGAACAAGAAATTAATGTGGTTGGCTCCCGGTATTTCTCAAGATGTTACCTTCCGAGCATGCATATTTTAAACATTCAATGAAACTTAGCACATCAGATGTAATATTATAGCATTCAAGAAATTATTTAATTCCTTACAGTATCTTGCGATTTAATATGGCCACATTGGAATATTCCTTGCTGAAATGATGTTAGGTTGGTAATTGAACATGACAATACCACACAATCAAGGAGGTAATTGTTATCAAACGAAAAGCATTTTACTGTTCCTTTCCCAAAGTCTCTTTAGGCTCCGCTCCCGAGATGCCTGCCGAGTCTTGTGGTGAGATCAAAGCCAGCGAACAAGGGATGGCGGTCAGCGGTAGATATTGGCTGGAGCCCCAGGAGACAAAAATGAAATCCAAGAACTTTCTAGTAACTTAATTATTATTCTTCATTTCTGAACAATTCAAGAAAAAAATAGATTTGTACCGTTAAAAAATAAGAATGTTTGGAATTCATAATTCCTTTCTTATAGACAGTTCACGTAAAAACAAGTTTGGATCATAAAATGCAAGTTTGCATGGAATTCTTTATTTATTTGCAGGTTTATTGTGACATGGTATCAGAGGATGAGGCCTGGACTCTCCTCGCTCGGTTTTCAAACAGTGACACTAAATACTGGATGGATGACTCAGGAGACTGGTGGTATGACAGTGCTCAAGCTGCAGGAGAAACCACTGACCCGTCACACAACCCAGACATGATATCACCAGCGTTCTGGCTGGTCAGTGGCAGAGAGCTTAAGATCACGCGCAATGATGACTCTGGACACACTCCTCTATTGCAAACCACAGGGAACTGTCTGAGTGGGAAGACATTCCGCTCCAAAATTACTAGCTATGGCAACTTCAGAAACGGTTCAGTCTGGTCTAAGGGTGAGTGCCTTGGAAAATGCAAAGTTAAATATGGAGGACAATACCTGACAACTGAGGGCTTCGGACAGGCTTCATGCAGTGGTGACCTGCAAGGTGCTGATGAGGTCGGCTTCTGGTGTAACAAGGGCTGGAGTGGTTCTGTGATCATGATTGGAGGAGGTGGAACTGGTTGTTCAGGTGCCGATCACGGAATTGGGACAACGGTGGCGAAACTTGCCTCTTTTAAAATCAAAGAAGATAACAGAAGAGAATCTGACTTTAGTAACGACGCATGGGGTTCGATAACTAAAAGTTACTCGTTGAATTTGTGGATTCGTTAAAGCATGCATCCTTTTTAAACTCGTGACGCGTGAAATGCTGTTTAAAATGCTGTTTGAAGCGTGAATTTTTCCAAACTTCGCGCATGAAACGTGATCAGAACTACTCTCCACGTACAGTTGTCTTGAATCCGAATTGCCTTTCGATGTATTGAGATAAATACGTGCTTATTTTTAGTTTTTTTTTGTTTCGTTTTGCTTTGTTTTGTTTTCCAGATGCATGAATTCAAACTTAAAATGATTTTGTGTTTATTTAACAAAGTGAAAGTGTAAGTAGTTTTATAAAAGGTTTCATTCATTGTTGTGCATCTAGTTTTAAAGAAGAACGAACGTGTACATAGTTATAATAGAACCTGCTTTGATGTTGATTGATCAATGTGTTCAGCTTTAGGCATCTAGGTCTCTGGGATCATTTTTCAGGACGTTAACCTTGAGTAATTGTTGGCTTGGTTTTTAACTGGGTGTCGTCACCCTCCATAAATAAAGTTGACACACACATACATAATGACAAATAAATCTTATTTCCCAGTAACAGAAGAAATGTGATCAGGTGTCAGCCAAACGCATGCGCAAAAAACACCTAGTCGACAAGAATTAAAATGGCTTACGCAGGGAGACAATATCTTTCCATATTTATTTTAAAAATTTGGAAGCCCTCTCCTTCCAATTGAGTATTCTTCTGCAAGTTTGCCCCTCAGATGGAGAGGATGAAACGAAAAGAAAGAAAAACCAGCTACAGTACGGTAGATCATTCTATGTTAAGGCCCGACCATAGACTTCATTTTGAATTGTGTTCATTACTTCATGTGATAAGGCAAAAAATTCTGACCTTTGTGCTCATCCCTATATATTCGATCAGCAGACAATAGCGAGAATTTAGGAACAGAAGCAAACCTAGTAGGGGAGACAGGGTTTTAATTCAAAAAGTAATTGTCTCAGAATAGAGTGGGTGAGAGAGTTTTCTTTCCATACCTAAACCTCGTAGTTTGACTGACCTCATACCATGAGGTAAAAAGGTAACTTAATTAAAAAAAACAAACAAACAAACAAAATAAATCATAATTTTGAGCATAATTTAGAAAAACTGAGCGATAGTAGCATAATATGCTACTTTTACTGGCACAATCCATAAGGTCCCACTGGTGTTAGCTTGTACCTCAGTTTTTCATTGTATCTTGGGGTTAGTAGTCTCTAACTACTAATCTCTAAAAAGAGATGATGTTGTCGAGCGTTTAGAAATGAAGGGGGAGGGAAGGAAGCCGTCTTGGCATATGAAAGACTAAACTATCAGCCGTTTTCTTTCCTTAGTTTTCTGACTCTTTAACGTTTGGCGATGAACACAATTAACATCCCATGAAGCCTGTGATTGAACTGAACGAAGACATTATAATATTTTTGACTTGGGGAGTTTTAAAAAAGAAATGTATCGCTACAATTGATCATGAATGAACATTTCACCGTATCAGTCCCTCTGGGGACGATACTGATCTACGAATTTGACTTCATCTGTCTGATGAGTAAATGGTTATGTATTTCTATCCGAAGAGATCAACTGATGGGATACTCAAAACTAGCTTCCGGCGTGTAAATATTAAGTCGTATAAGATAACCATCGTTGAACGAGATTCAGTATGAGGAGCCATTTGTGCCAAAAATATCAATCGCTAGAGATAAAACTCAGTAGTTAATGCTAAAATATCAATCGCTTGAGATAAACTCAACCGTTAGTGCTAGCAACAAATCATAACTGTAGATCAATTTAGTTTCCGTTCTAAAATGGTCAGTCGTTCGTGCTGAACCTCAATCGCTTGTGTTTTGCACCAAACGCCATTGTAAAATCGCTAATTATAAATCGCTGGTGTTCCGAGGCAGTTCGATAGCGCCAGATATATATCCTATGTTTAAATGTCAATTGATATTGTAAAACTTTTATGACTTGTGCTATTTTCAAATTCAGCAATCATAAGGATGACAGTAGTCTGTGATGCCACCGATCGTTTGTGAAAATAAGAAATCGCTATCGCAAAACCTCAATCTTAAGTGCTAGTATAGATTTGTTATCGATTCTAACTTAAAACAGTGTTTTAATAAATAATTATTGTCGGAAAAGTTATTGTAAATCTAAAATACAATTAAAACTTCTGATTGGATCAACGTCTCCACAAATAATCTATTGAAAACCCAAAAATAATTTGCAATCCAATACTCTTTGTAAAATTCAGAAATATGTTTGAAATCGCGAAAAATGACCAAGGTGATCGTGTCCTATTGATGCCTTGAGGTGGACAGCGAGACAGCATCCTCAAACACATTCATTTATTAACTACAGGCTCACCAGTCATGCAGCATGGGATTTATATAAAAAACTACGATTCAACATATTTTTCTGGGTGTAAAAACATTTTTGGGTCTCCCTTGTCGGCTTACTACTTCCTGGCTCGTGATAAATACATGTTTTATGTAACTATTAAACTTCAATGTTTTGACGTAAAACTTCAAAGGTAGAAAAGGTTGTGGTTATTCATCGTGGTGAAAAACAATAAAATCTCAGTTTTTCGTTTATCTCACGATGTAGTCACGTGTGATGTAGATCGCGACCTTTCGACTTCATACTGCTAGTCTTCTTCAGGCGATGAGGTCGACTGGTCATGCGTGATCTTATAAAGCATGATGCTCTGCAGTGATCAGTTGTTTTTCAACAGCTCTGATTGGTGCATTTCGATCCTTGCTGATCACTCAGTGATTTGCTCCCTCGGCGGTCCGCTGTCGCACGGCTCTCCTGTTGTTGTGTTTTTTGATCCTGGGCATCCACGCTTCTGGAATTTCTATTCCACTATCCCTGTTGATGTTGCTAGGGTGAAGTCTTATGTGAATTACCTCTTTGACCCTACGCGTGTAGTAACAAGGGTCACGATAAATAAACTTTCGTAGTCTGCGACTTGAAAACAGCGCGTACGCCTTGTTGTTGTAGGCAACGGCGAAGCTGTTCCCACAGACCTTTGACATAAGCTAAAACCGCATTAGCCTTAAACTCGATGGAGGGTTCGGCACTGTTGTTTGGTTTTCCGGTCCTGGTAAGTTTCTGCAAGAACTTTTCAAACACCTTCATAAGGTGTTACTTTTCAATACCAGCAAGTCTTTAACCGACTGTAAATATCAACAAAAATTTTCCAACGGAAGCTGTAATTTAAGTGTTCGGTAATGTTGTGTTCCTTGTCGATACCGGTATCGATCGAGCTCTGCGAGATCGAACTCATAGACGCCAGACTTGAGAAATCTGCCTTTGTTTGTTAGCTACAAACACCATTCCAGACAACAATTAACATGCGCGAGGACCGTCTCAAATTGTAGGGATGCAATCGGCGGCAACTTGAACACGTCTCCCGCTGATCTTACAAATATTACCCATTCCCACTTTATCATTTTCATAAAGACTCAACTCGAGCACATGGAAAATGGCGACGTCTGCTCCAAACAGTGCTATGAGAAGATTGCTAGAGTTAGTTGGTATTGGAAATGACCTTATTCAGAACTTTGAAGAGCAGGACATTACCGCAGAAATAGTTCCTATCCTATCTAATGCACAACTGATTCAACTTGGCTTAACAACGATAGCAACTACCGGTAGTTCGTTCTATTTGCCGAAATAGCAGCACGAGAAATGGGGAGCCAGCACTTTTAGTTTGAGTTTTTGTCAATAAATGCAACCTCGGCAGATGGCTTCCTCTGTAAGTTATGGGAAGCCATTTGTGCTAAAAATATTAATCACAATTGATAAAACCCAATCGGTAGTGCTAAAATGTCAATCGCTAGCGATAAAACTTAAAAAAGGGAATAGTGAGTGAGACAATTGTGATAAGTGACCGCTTTGCAGCCAAATTAGCTTTATCGCGGAGCTTATTCTTGTGAAATAAAAAAATCTACGTCCAACATGTACAAACAGACGAATTTAAAAATCATAAGACTGCACCTCTGTCTAAAGCTTTTAAGAACAAAAACTTAATTGCATGAGATGGAAACTACATGCCAAATAAAAGTATAAAGGAATTAAAAATTTAGTGAAATGAGAGACAATGACTATATTATTTTGGTTGGGAAAGTCTTAGAGTATTATGTATCAGCTATAATATAACTAAAGATCAATTTTTTTAAGTCTAAATACTATTGTCGCTATCATTGTTACCAATATTATCACTATCACTACTACAAAACTCTTGCCATACCGTTCCCTGTGTGTATCGCGTTTGGGTTTTAATTACCTGTGAGTTTTTGTATGTTTCATTGGCTGCGTTGTGTGCTTGAAGTTGATGTTCACATCGTTGTGTATTGTTACTTAATTTCCGTCGAGTAATTTGTAATTTTTTTTGTAGAAATTTAGTCTTGTGGATCGATATTTGTGTCCCCTCTTTAGAAGCAGCCTCTTCGTTTATAAATGCTTCTAAAAAGGATTTCGTTATTTTGAGGTTATTTATAAGTTTTTGTTCTCTTTTTTGTATTTTTCCGACTCATGTCTCGTGCCGTAGGTGTGTGGAGATTTTAAATAAATGATGAGCACAAATACGCGTGACTTCGAGTTTAATCATCCCAACTGTGTCAATTACAAATCGCACGAATATGTCGTGTGGTTACTAAATGGTCTAATTTGTGGTTTAATTGACAGTTTCAAGTCCAAACTGTCCGACTTTACCGGTCTGGTTACAAACACTTGTAATCCGGCTGTCAGGCCAATTGGGACAGTTAAGCTGCCGATGAAAATTAAGCACAAACATTTTGGGATAACCGGCGAAACTAAGTTGGGTCATTTCTTGGTTCATCCAGTGAGAAAAAATCTCAGGAACCGACACCCTAAACACTACGTATTCTCGAAGGGCAAGTAACCTCGTTGCTTTGAAAACGAGAATCCTTTGAGTTTTTGAGTCAGAATTTTTTAGTGGTATTTGAAGTTGATAATATATATTTGAACAATTTCATTAAAAATGCTTCGAAATAAGACAGAATTGTGC